AAAAGGTTTTCTGGTCATACAAGATAAAAATAGATTTTTTGGTTTACTGTACATGCAAAACTAACATAGTGCACCACTCATTCAACACCATCCCAACTGTAGTGGTGGGCATATTGTGTTATAATTCTGCTTCTCATCAACAGGGACTGATAAGATTGTCAGGACAGATAGAAGCATAGATGATGCAAACTATTAGCAAAACATGCTTCTGAAGGAATGGAAAATGTATCTGTACATTAGCAAAATAGTATTATGCATTAACAGAATAATTGTAGGTTGTAAAGGAACAAGTAATAGGTTTATTCCATGCTGAAAAGAGAAGAAAGAAAACACACCCGAAGAACCCTTCACACCCGAAGAAGGCTCCACAGCCGAAACATTGTGTTTGCTTTCTTCTCCTTTACAGCCTACGAATGCAGACGCAGCTACCCACCTGAACTACTAACATAATCATACAGTAGGTTGTTTTGCAAAGGTTTGTCTTGTTTTCATCACACGTGCACTAAATTGGGATGAGGGGTCAAACAAAATGTACCTTTGGTTGTGTCTGTGAGCAAGTTTCAGAGGAAGTAAACTCATGCTTATTGACCACAAGGAAACTAACATTTATCACTTTGGGGTCATTTTCAAGTAGTAACTTAACAACTGACAAGAAGATTTGAAATTGGGTATAGGTTTATGCCATATGAGGGATTTTTGCTTTTCAATGTACTTTACTGTATGTTACAATGTACTGATATCCCCAAAGGCTTCTTTTTACATCAAATCCTTTTTACCTTAAATTATAGCTTGGTTATTTCTGTTCCTCAAAAGGAACCTTTTCCTTTATTCCAGCTTTTAATTCAGATCTAAAACTGAGAAAAAATATCTTTCAGCAAGAAAACAACCCTAAGCACAAGGCCGAAGCACCTGGAGTGACTTTCCACTTTCCAAGTGATATGATTTAGGTTTTAAGGATGTCAAGATGAATGGGCAAAAAACGGCACCAAGTTGTTTTTGGCTGCCAAAGGTTCTTCCACCAAATATTGAGTTTACAGGGCTGAGTAATTATGTTATCTTCATATTTCAATTTTTTTCTCTTTAGTTTTTGCTGACATTTCCTCAGCAAAAACTAAAGTATATAATCTTACCCTTAGAAGTCTGTAGGTTCAGCACTTAGGTTTTAAATAAAATATTAAGTTAAAAAGAGATACATACAGATTTTTTAATTTAAAAAAGGGGGAAACCAGATAAGCAGTCTGGATACTTTTTCAGGGCATTATGTAAGATAATTCACCTCTTGTTTATTGCAAAACATTTTCAATATATAAAAAAGTACAATGGGAGATTTAGATTTTACATACTGGTTCAGTACATACTGGTTCCAGTTTGGAAATGGTACTTTATTTACTGTCAGTATATGGGCATTTTCCAGTTACAGTGGGCTTCTACCATGAAATACACATTGCAAATGAATATACCCCAGTAAAAAATAAGATTAACGTGGTTTATACAATCACATTCGATTATTTAAATAAAACATGTTTTTTAAAGCATGTGGGGTACATATTGTTTATGAATTATTAAAATACAACCTACTTTAAATAAATCCTCAAAGCGCCATCACAATGGTATAGATAACATGAAAAAAGAAAACTGCATGATCTCCATAAATGTGCGCGTACTACCCCAAACTCCACCAAATGAAGTTGAGAAGCTGATAATCAAAATAATCTCCATTTTTTAACAGCTTTGAGGTTAATGTCTATGATTAAAAGGGGTTTAAACTGCAAAGAAAAATGTTGAAACTGTAATGTCTCTCTAAAAGTGTCACTTCTGTCTCAGGGGGATCTAAGGCAATGCACAGCAAGCCGGATGCTTCCCAATCGTTACATCAGCCTATCGTCATGTTAGAAGCAGCAGACACCATATACTGTAGTATTTTGTTTTTGTCACAGAATGAACAGATTTTCATGGAAGAAATGAAAAAAGGCTGTCAGAAAGCTAACAGAAGGATTGTTGGCCCTTGGGATTTGACAAAAAGTACAGTGACAGCACATGACTGTTACATGCCTTTCCTAACAGAAAGATAAATTGATGTCCTGGAGCGACCTCCCCATGCTCTACCATTAGGGATGGAGTGACATGCACAATTTAATTTTATTGCTGTTGTGCTATGCTTTTGGGAACATTTCTATTGAAACCATGTGAAAATTTTCATTTGATCCTACTCATAGTTAATGCAAGCTTCAGCCACCACCTTTTATGACAAAGTGAGAGAAAAGGGTGTTCCCCCAGTAAAAATAAAACACAAAAAAGTGCCTGTTAAAGTAAAGCACATACAGAAACAAAGCCAATGTGGGCATATATTTGCTCCATCTGTCAGCTACAACAATTAATTTAGTTTTGTAAGATGTGTTGATACAGACGTGTGTCACAATACTGTTAATTTTCAGGAACTGAAGCCGATTATGTAACCTACAGTACCATTTTAAAGTCCTAGGTGACAAAACACAGTTGGTTCCTCCAAAGCAGCAACAGTCCAGCACAAGACAGGTAGATACAATAACTGCATTCTTTCTGTGATATATATCAGCAATAATAGTAGAATATTACTGTCTAACAAGAAAAAATGAATCACAAAAATAAAATTATCCACAAGGAACTCATACCAAGAAACTGTAAACCACTTTCCCTAATAAGCTCCTTCCCTCGCACTGAAGAGGAGATACTGTAACTCCGCATAGTACAGTACTTCAGTTGGTTCTAGCATTAATTTTAGTCCCAACAGTATAAAACCCAATGTTTCACTTTATGTCCCCTGACCTGGCTGTTTGCAACAAAAAAGGATAGGGAAGGAGTTAGTGACTCAAAACCTATGATCTCCACTGGCCAAGGCTTATACAGTATATGATCTAGTTAGCCCACTGATCCACTCACCAGGTGCTCTTGTGATGATCTAAAGGCTTAAATGTGAGGTGTGAATGTTCAGGTAATCATGGGAGGCAGGCAAGTGTAAACAACAGGGGGCTACTTCCAGGTGTCATGGTGCACTATCCTTCCTTCCTTTATCTTTTGCCTTTCCTGTCTGTTCCTTGTCCAGTCACAGCATGCACTGCAATGTGTCATCTCTCACTTTGTGGTAATGGGCAAACAGTATGACATTCAATCGGTAATGATCTTTGTCTGCTGGGCTGTTTGTACTAGGGCATCAGGTCTATGTTAAACCAGCCACAGGGTAATCTGGGATTGTTGCCAAGCGGAGCCTCCTAAAAAGCCTTTTCAAAGTGAAGGACTTTGAAATTGTCTTATTAAAGTCCTTAAGTCACCAGGCTGTGGTCCTATTCTACCCTACTCTCAAGTTCCTTCCTGTGTTTACCTCTTGTAACCACCATATGTGAGCTCACTGTGGAGTTTGCCAACCAACTCCCTCCTAACCTTTTCTCTGTGTTTCATTACCCTTTCAGGATACGAAATGATACAATCCAATAAGATCGTACAATGCTTTGTTGCCTGATTTCTCCAAAATTTGTCTTGCATGAAAGCAGCTATGTTTTACACAAAGATAAACTTTTAGATTATTCAAATGATAAAAGTAAACATTAGATTCAAAATAAATATAACATTACATAACAGACATCAAGCTATACATATTAATTTTATGTAACTCCTACAGGAATCCACACAACTACACCAGAACTCTGTAAATTTTCTCCCCCTACAATTATGCTAAGACCATATAATTACACATTATCCCTTCACTTTTGCACATGATCCACTGATTGCATTTGCCCATAAACAATTACAGTACTCCCTTAGTCATTATTTTGATTGATAAAATAATTCTTTGTTTTGTTAAGCCTACATTGAAGGACTCGTAAGGAAGGATTCAAAAGGAGCAGCTTTAAAGTGGTAGAAGTGGCAGTTGCAAAGATTTCTTGCTCTTTCTGATTTCCATTTGTCTTTGTAGAATGCAGGTACAGTACAACTCAGGCAAGTGGTCACACCATGTTACATTTAGAGATTAAACAACACAGGAAATGTCAAACACTGCAGCAGTAGCAGCAAATTGAGTAAAAGGACAAACACCTGGCACATAAAACTTGTGCTATAGTCAATGTCAATGCATGCATTACCAAAAATGGACAATGAAAATCTTTAATGGGTGGTACTGAGATTAAAAAGTTTTTGAATATAATAAAGGTGTTCTCTCTTTAAGTGTATTTGTGATCTATTAGACAATGTTGGGAAGTGATTAAAAAGACCACTAATGAAGTAATCAAATGAAGTAATGTTAAGATGATATAAAACTAAGATACTGTAGATCTCATTTAAGAGTACCATTAGCTGCTTTAGTTACCGTGTTATAAAAAGAAGAATGTCTTCTGGAATGATTTCAGACAAAATGAAGTAGATTTAAATAGTTCTAAACTTAAGAGAAATAAGATTAACTTGAAATTAAGCAAATATGGATTTAGTTAGGAAAACAAGATGCACGTCTTCACATAAAGAGATGGCTGTCATCATCAGACTGCCAAGCCATGTTTTTGCAGCTACAGGGTAATTCACCTCTACTGATGGCTGATTAACTATTCAAATCAATGCCCTGATTGCTTACTCACAGCTGTTATTGTGTGTGTATATATATAAAACAGTGTTTTATGGTCAATCAAGTATACTTCACTTCCTTCTAAAATAACTTGCAGAAAAAACATTGCAACCATTTAGATTTTTTCTACCTATGGTAATAAATATTTAATCAAGCATCCAGACAATCACTAGACTTTTCAATATGTTTTTATGAATTTCAAATATAAGCCATGTGTGTGTACAGATGTTGTCAGTTTTTCTATGATCCATATTTAAGCTGCCTGTTGGACGAATATAAGCATGTACTGTAGCTGAATACAAAACAATATAAGGAGGACTTTCTATATTAAGAAACCACTCTATTTTTCCTTCATATCCTTTTACTAAGCCATTATCTCTCCCTTAGAAAACCTCTGCATTCTTTAGCCTAACCTGTCAGAGCATTTTTCTAATGTCTCTGGACAGATACTGACTGATAGATGTGCCCTACAGCAGCTGTTCTGTATTTCGAGTAAAGAGTGAAAAGCCGACTGGCGCTGAGGTATTGCGGTATTTGAAGATGCTTTGAGGGTTAAACAGTTTCTCGCCACCTGTGAATATATATTGGGGGCTGCATTTATACAGCCCAAGCATGCAGTCTTAAGTCAAAAAATCCATTGGCTAATAATCAGTGGTGAACATCAACTCAAGGAATTATATACCCAGCATAAGTCAATGTCAAAGGTATAACCTTAGGCAATAATGCTTACAACAATACCATTATAATAAGGTTGGCTACAAATGCATGGACACCACAGTGTGTGCTTAATGTTTGACGAGACACTGTCCTACTGAAGATCAGCACAACCAAAAAGAAGCCGGGATTTGCACTTCTTTGCATGTCTCATCAACCCAGGGAAGTCAAAGCTTCATGTTTTGGAAAACCAGGTAATCTTTTTTTTATGTGTATGTGTGTTCAAGACTGTGGGGGGGGGGAGTTATTCACCTGTGTTACATTATAAATGTCTACATGAGGATTGATTTGGGGCTTGATATCTTAAAAAAAACATGTATCCTTTCAATTACATTTCAATGGTATCCATCTGTTTTGTGACCCTTAATTTCTTCACTCCAGAATAACAGTGAAAAAATGTAATGAATTTAATATGCTGTCTTGCCCATGAAAGATCTACTCTTATACTTTGGAGCTGGCTTTCTAAATAAGTCACCACTTTATTCACATGACAAGTTTCCCAATAAAGCATCTGTGCTCTCTACTATAACATAAACCAAATTATACTTAGATTCCCCCATCCCAATATTTGTTTTTTGTTTCTTTTTTTATTTCTGTAAGTGCTTATAGGTTTTGGTTGTGCTGACTGAAAAAAAACTATGTTGTATAATACTGAATATTTCCAAAACATGTTAAATGCAGAACATTTTACAACAAAGTGTTACAACATTTTTTGCACTGCATGACTTTTGTTCTTGCAGTCTTATCATTAAAATTGCACTAAAAGTTTGTGGAAAAAAAACTTGAATACCCCATATTTTTTATTTATTTATTGTATTAAAGTCTGCCAAACAACTCAGGCCCTGCTGGAAATTCAGTGGTCTTTTCATTCAGTAAATAATCTGGCTCTCAACTAAACCATAAGATGAAACCTAACCCAAACCTTTTTTTAAATGAAATATTTGCTATAATTAACATACTTGGCTTAATCGAGGCCATTTTCCACTAACCAATCTCCATATTTTTTTACCATTTATATTCAGAAAAAAAGACACACTGTAACCCAACATTTGTTTTCAATAAAATGCTCCTTTTTTGAATAAATATATAATTCTTCATGTAGAAGAATAGCATTGTACCCTGTGATATCTAAAATCCTGCTGAATGTAGATAGAGTTTCTTTTTTTTTGCTCCTGCCATAACAACATGTATGACAGTGTTGAGATCTTATCTATACTAACAATTGTAAAGCTGTTAAGTAGTGAATGGCATTGAAGTGGTATTGAACATGCAGTAATATTATTCAGCCTTTTTTCACAGCAGGATTTCAATATAGAGTAATCGTATTTTTAAACATATTGATATAAGTACTAAAGTGAAATGTTACAGTGGAATGGACTAGAAAAAGCCTTATTTGAGGAGGCTGAGGGGCAAAAATTCATGAACTATAAATTGCATTAACTTTGCCAGCCAATATCCATTACGTTTTTGATGTTGAGTGGGAATTAAGCTCTGGGTGTTCCTGTTGAAAAATATAATGACGTCAATCTCAGAAACTAGTCCAAATTAGTTTTTCATTCATATATACAGTATATTTAAAGAACATTTATGATTCACTTTTGATACAAAAGACGACTGAACTGGTGTGCTTAACTTGTGCTTAATGTATTCACACTGTTGATGTCAGTTGTTATTAGATTGGGTATATATAGTATTTGCTTATAAAATGGCAGGGTGGCACAGTGGTTAGCGTTGCTGGAGCTCTAGGTTTAATTCCTAAGAACCTAAGAACCTAGGGTGCTATCTGTTTGGAGTTTGTATGTTCTCTCTATGTACGCATGGATTTCCTTGGGGTACTTTAGTTTGCTTCCACAGTCCCAAGAAATATTGGTACATTAATTGGTTTCTAGGAAAATTGGCGGTGCTGTGAGTGTGTGTTAGTGCTTGTCCCTGCAATGGACTAGTGTCCTGTCTAGGGTGCATCCTGGCTTGTGCTCAGTGATAGGCTTTTCTCCTCATTTAGCCCCTCTCTTTATGAGCTTTTGAAATGAAATGTATATAATAAATTGGCTTTGAAGAAAATAAAAAAAAACTAGGCTTATAAGAATTGTCTGGAGGTGCTTGGTTAATAACTTCATTCTGTATGTTTATCCTCCATGTATCTAACTATATTTTCTATTTGAGTTTGTCAGAATATTTTAACCCAATTTCTCTGACCCTGTAATAGGCTATGATGAAATATGGTGAAATGTGACTCTGATGTAGCTTGGTTTGAGGAAATTATTTGATCTTAATAGGTTCTTCTGTATAAAGAGAAGCACATTAAAACAAGGACTACAAAGGTATGTCTAGAACAAAACATTTTTGTTTACAATTTTCTTTTTTAATCTGGCTAAAGGTCAAACACATGCTTCTACTTTATTCCACCTTGACTTCAACATGTTAATAAATGCTAAAATCTACTGCAACAGGGCCATTCAAACCATAAACTATTTAAATAATACCGTAGGTAACTCTGTTAATATTATTTGTAGCATTTTGCATTTTGGTGTTTTATTTTATCCCCCCTTAAAATGCATTTAGATGTCACTAGATATTTAAATATATGAGATTGTATTGTATGTATGATATATTTAACACTATTTGCAATAAAATAAAGCAATAAAAAAGGTAAGCACCATGTAAGGCTATTGCATTCATATCTGCGCTTGTCTACAGAATTATTGTTAATTATCTTTCCTTTCCTGGGGAAACCTAGAAACCTGCTGAGGTGGGTAGCTGCATCAGCATGCATAGTCTGCAAAGGAACAAGTAATAGGTTTATTCCATGCTGAAAAGAGAAGAGAGAAAACACAACATTTTGGCTGTGAAGCCTTCTTCAGGATTCCCCCCCAAAAAAAACCATCTCTGTGCACATTATACATTTAAAAAAAAAGTGAAATTATACATTAAACAATCATTCTACTTGCCTCTGCCACCAAGGTTTTTGGACATCCCAAAAACCCAAACCCCTATAAGTGAGACTGTTAGCCATTACCCTTTCGGAGAAACCCCAGATCCCCTAAAAGGATTTGTAACCAGATACCCTTTAACTGTTTCCCCTTAAAGGCAAGCAGAAACTTTCCCTGTCTCTCTCCCTTAAACTTAACCAGAACCAGGAATAATTCAACCTTTAATTTTACTTACTTGACTGATTCTGTTTGGCCAAAGATGCTAATCAAAATCTTTACATGCACCCCTGATACTCCTGGCAAATCTGATAATATTTTCTCTAAGTCTTGTTGGTTACTGACGAGGAACCTTCTATCCAACCTAGTGGTGACTAATACAGCTTCCACCCAAGAGGTACTATTCCTTTACTAAATACAGACTGTTTTGTTTGGGCTCTCGATTCTTCCATGTGTTCTCTCCATGTACCTGTGTGATTTTTCTTTCCTTTTTTCTCTCTCTGTCTCAAACATATTTAAAGAGACTTCTAATTAACATCATCTGCAGCAAACATGTGCGAATGTGTGCACTTAATCCACATTCACACATTTGCCCCACTCTTTCGAATAACCTTGAACACAAGAAACTAATCGCTATATGATCCTACAAACACCTTTACCAATCACACTAAACTCACAACAATAGCTGCATCCTTACATCTATATAGTCAAAAGTGCAGAATCCAAAACAAGGGATGCTGTAAAAATTGTTCAATTCACTAATTAGAACTCATTTAGAAAATTGCGTAAAATGTTACCACATTACAAAAAATATATTGTTGTCTGGAATCAGTACAGAGGTATGTCCTACACTGACATATGGAAGCCCGTTTCCGCCAGGGAGGAAAAAAAAACGCGCTATGGTATCTCAGAATTCCGACTTAGTATCTCAGAATTGCGACTAAGTATCTCAGAATTCCGACTTAGTAAGTCAGAATTCCGACTTCTTTGTATCTCAGAATTCCGACTTTGTATCTCAGAATTGCGACTTAGCAACTCAGAATTCCGACTTAGTATCTCAGAATTGCGACTTAGTAAGTCAGAATTCTGACTTAGTATCTCAGAATTGCGACTTAGTAAGTCAGAATTCCTACTTAGTAACTCAGAATTCTGTCTTTATATCTCACATTTGTGACTTCGAAATAGCCATATTTCATTGTCTGTCCTTTTGTTATTGTAACGGATTCGGGTTCTAGGGCTTGTGCCCTCGCTGCTCCCACCCTAGTTCATGCCTCGCTGCACTGGCTCGAACCTGAGTCTTGCCAGCTGAGCTAAAGAAGACCTTCTTTTTTAAGTAAAAAAGGACATACAATGGAAATACGTAAAAAGTATGTTTCAGCTTTTATAATTGTGAATTCTTCTGGATGTGAAGTGCCTATTTCTGTATCTTATTTCATA